TGGAACATAATAATACTCTTGTTTGTCTACTGAATTATGGGGTCAGCCATTGTGGCGCAGTGATTGATGAAATATCAAGGAAATTGGTTGATTGAAATATTTTGGTGCTGACTTTTTTCAATCTTTTATGTGTGTTTTTCTAAGATTACAATTTTAATAAATGTTGATTTGGTGAATAAATTTTATGAATCTAGTTTTTTCAATTATAAATATTTGCGGGTATATAATCCAATAAATTCACTTTTTTTTCAATTTTATTTTATTTTAATTAATTCTAGAATCTTGATATTAATTTCCTTTATTTATTTTATGTTAATATATTTTATTTTATTTTATTTTTTTTATTCTATTTTTTTTTATTTTATTTTATTTTATTTTATTTTATTTTATTTTATTCAATTTACTTTCAGTTTAATTTTTTTTATTTCTTTTCATTTTAATTTATGCTTTATTTTCCAAAAACTAAAATTCAATGGAAAGGTATTATATTTAATCGAAAAAACAATTTTTTAAAAAGACGAAGAAAGTCTAATGAAGATGCCAAAAAATGCCAAATTTATTATTTGCAAATCTTTTCAATCATATATGCACACATATATGTGTATGTGTGCAAATAGTTGTGTACCTGCTATCATATGTTAAAGCTTCATACAAATTACCTGTCATAAATCAGTAAAACATGACCCTGATTGCTTTAGAAACCAACACACTCACATAAAAAGGAAATTATATATACATATATATATAAAAATATATATATGTAAATAAACAAACAGCAATTGCCATGAAATCGTCTGCATATGATACTCATATCTGTGAACTGCAGTTGCAACTACCCGAACACTCACGTACATACGGGTATACTCAAACTGGTTGGGGGTAAGTACCAGAGCTCATAACTCAAAATCACTGCCAGATTGTGTGTATGCAAAATAAAATAAATGTCATATATTCATAAATTATTATGGCATAATACAAACATTTAAAGGCGTGTATAAGCTTTTTAGAAGAAACTAACAACTACAGTTATACACTCGGATGCATATAGTCATTTAGAGAGACGTGTGGCATATGAAGACTCATTTGCAGCTAAAGAAAGTTTAATATATGCACTTTTTACTCACTTTTACCTTATTTTACCTAAAGTACAATGCCAATTTATATAGATTTATGTTAATGTGAGAGTCACAAACCATCTGAAGGGCTCTGTAGTACAAATGTAGCAATGAATACTGCTTCCTGCGGATATCCTTTGTGCTTTGAGAGCTCGTATTTTTATCCAGCCAAGAAATATTAGTCCCGCAGAATTTTCTAATCTATCAAATGTCTGTTTTGTTTTAATGCTGGAGAAAATAAAGCGAACCACAAAACTTTCCGTTTATCTTAGATACATTCTTCTACTGCTTACCAGTAGCGGTGAGATTGGTATGACCGTCCTCAAATTCTGCTCCAAAACTTTAAAGGTCTATCTGGCAGTGAAGCATGGACCGTGACGGCATTTGATGATTTAACACTCGAAGTTTTGAGACTCATCTCTCTGGTTTACCTTCGTAGTTACAAGTAACAGAGAGATGCATCACGATTCATGATCTGTCGAAAGCTTTTGACTCCGTCAATCATTCAATGCTACTATTGGACATTGAGGCATCCCCATTACCGCCGGGGTTGCAGAAATTGATCAGGGACTACCTGAGTGGTCGACAATCATCGGTAATATTAAACAAGGGGTTCCGCAGGGTGGTGTTCTCTCCCAACTATTGTTCAATTTCTTCATTCGAAACTTCCTCTTCCACCAGAAGAAGTTTCCTTAAGCTCGAATGAAGATGATTGCACGATATTGGCTCCTGAAAAGGATATAGATAACCTCTGCTTGAAAGTGAACTGCTATATCGCCGACCTGTCTCTCTTCTTCACTGCAAGGCAACTTAAGATACAACCGACGAAATCCTCGGCCACCTGGACAAGGGAATACAGGCTCTAGTTAGATGTGAAGATATTCGGAGTCACAATCGACAGCCTGCATTCCTGCGCTCCACATACGACCGCAAGTGCCTCAAAACTGCAGAGCCGCAACAAGGTACCTAAAGCGCTAGCCTGCACCACCTGGGTAAAAGGTAAAAAACCTTGCTGGCAACCTACTAAGCAATTGGTCGATCGATCAGTCACTTAGATTGCTTTTAAATTTGTCCCTAAGCGGCGTTAACGTAACCGCTACAGCAACAAAAAAATTTACAATTGGCCTTATTAATTTGGCACAAAATCGTTGTAGAACTGACTTTTTTTAAATTTTTTTTATTCTATTTATTTATTTTATTTTATTTTATTTTATTTTATTTTATTTTATTTTATTTTATTTTATTTTATTTTATTTTATTTTATTTTATTTTATTTTATTTTATTTTATTCAATTTTGTTTTATTTCGCTTAATTATATTTAATTTTTAGTATTCTATTTAATTTACTTTAATTATATTTTGTTTATTTTCATTTTATTTTATATTTGTTTATATTTAATTTAAGTTTATTTTATTTAATTTTATTTATATATATATATTTTTTTTTAATATATTTTATATCATTTTATTTCATTTCATTTTAATTTAATTTTTTTATTTCTTTTTATTTTATTTAAATTTTAGTATTTTATTTAATTTAACTTTTTTAACATTTTTTTGCATTATTTTAATTGATTTCAATTTTTTTGGTTTAATTTTATAAATACATAAAAATAAAATCACATAAATGATTCCATTTGTTTTTTTTTTAATATCTTAAAAAAAAGCTTTGTTTCAACCTTCAGTCCATTGATTTTTTGCCTATTTTCTGCATTCACCTCATTGTCATCGCAATTAACGCGCTCCAATTCCCAGTCGACTCGCGTTATCAGTGATTTCTGTCGCCTAAATTAATTAACAGATCAACGCTGAGAGTGCAGCGGCATGACGAGTGAATGTCATGAGTTTTGTTGTTGCCTTTGATGTACAAATATGTAAGCATATGTGTAGGTTGGTTTGGATACACATATAGGTGCTTATATGTATGGATAAGTATATCTACATACGTGTACGTGCAGCAGAGGTTAAATTTTTACATTGACGCTGGCAGAGTTTATGGTTAGATTTGTGGCTGCTGCATCAGCGTGCCACTTAATGAATATAAAAGTGAAAATTTACTCTTAACAGCGAAAAAAAAAGAGTATAAAAAATGAAAGTAAAACCCACTTGACACATCAATTTGCAATATACCAACGCACACTAATGAACTTGAGCAGCATATGAGTTATATATGTGCATGTGTTTGTGCATAAAGAGGCTATAATTATGCATACTCATTGATATGTGCGTACTTTGTACTCTCTGTGGTATATGTACTTAAAAATTAGTAGGTGAAAATGGTGGTGAAAGAGATAAAAAATAGAAAAATATTTTTAAATTAAACAAAAAATACATAAATAGTTCACAGAGTGTAACTTGAATATATAATATATATACACACACAAATACATGCTTGTTAATACTATATGTATGCATATCACCCATTTATGCAAAATTTATGTTAATTCTCTACTCAATATGCAAATTAGGGTAGTGAAAAAACCGCTAAGAAGTTCAAGTGCACTTTTATCTACTTTCGCAACGGCATTACAGTGCAGCAATAACAACAATAAAAGCAAAGAGAAAATCATAAAAAAATGCGCTTGAGAGTGTTTGCACTAGTAGTTATGTGTGTGTCATTATAAAGCCTTCACTAATATAATAATATATTCATATTCATACATATTAAAAAATACATACATACGAGTGTATAACGGTTTCATGGAAAAGTGGAAAAAACTTTAAATAACTTCTCAGTAAATCACAATCACCCTAATGTTTATGCTTAAACGCATTTGAATCGCTATGTATATACGCTTCAAGTCGCGAAGCGTCAAACTAGTATGCATAAAATCTAGTATAATACTAGTATTTTGGTGGTGAATTTATACCAGTTCATTATTTCTTAGTAAAGATCACCAGTAACGGGTACAATAACTTTTAATTTTTATTTTTGTGAAATGGAATGCCATCATTTGTGAACGAAGTTTGACTAGAAGACGCCTTGATACCGTGTTGGATGGCAAAGTTTAAAGAACCGAGGATGTATTTCTTTGACCCATAAAAAGAATGCTGGGTTGAAGTCGTGAACTCTTGTGTCAAAGCTATGGGTAGGAAGGAAGGTGTTTAAGTAATCCACAGCATCCTTTAGAGTTTCTTGTGCCATTGGACTGCTCAATATCCAACCAAAGTTAGTGTTTTGGGCTACTAAGCTGAAGCAGCTCTTAAGATCTAGCAGAAATATTTATGGAAGAGTGTCGCTGCAAACTACCATTTGTATTTCGGTTGATGCAAAGCAATTGGGATCTGCTAGGAGGGGAAATGAGCAGTATATTTTGGGGATCAATAGACTTAAACGGAAGTGGAGAGTGTGTAATTGGGGTACTATTATCCCAAGCAGCTTCAGCGCTTAAAATTGAATTGAATTCATCGGTCGGTGGCAGTTTGCAATACTAGGGTTGCCAGTTTCGAATACTAGGGTTAACAAATATCGAAAATTAAAGTTAACCTTCGTATTTCCGTGCAACTGGAAGGCAAAGCAAAAGTTTTTAACATTTTTTTGCGTCTGTTAAAACAAAAAAAAAATATTTCAAATATTTCTGATAAAGGTGGGAATGTTTTTTTTCTTTTAAAAAGTTTTCAACCTCTTTTTTTGGGTTAAACTTGCATTTAAATTGTCTATGTATAATGATTTTTATTTTTGATGTCTCTGGTTTGTTATGACAAACAATCTTATGGCACCCTTTAATTGAATGCCGAATATTATAATAAATAAGAAATTACAACTTTCAAAGAATGGTTTTTATTTTACATATTTTTTTTTTTTTTTTTTTTGTTAAACGAAATCTAAAATTTTTGATGAGAAACTCTTCCGTAACTCAGTTCCTGCAATTCTTTTAATTACAGAGAAATCTGGACCACCGTACTGCCACCGGAAACAAAAGATACTTTCACTGCCATTTTGGGTATTACGAAGGCCAGCCGCATGGATGAGGGCATTTACACGTGCAAGGTAAGCAAAAAGAAGGTAGAAAAATTAACAAAAGTCCAAACTGAATAATAAACAAAGCAAATGAGGAAATACAAAGCAAAAAGGATAAATAGCCTGTGTCGTAAAAATGGAAAAAATTTGAAAAAAAAAAAAAATCTAGATAAAGAAACAAAGGAGCGGCAGTTTCTGCGTGGGTAGATAAATGAAGACAAGACAAACCGAAGCTACATTTCTTTTACCCATTTATTTATTTCTTTGTTTTTTTTTTTTTTAAATACTATTTCATCATCTCAATTCCTTGTACTCTTCATACGAAACTCTACCACAGAGATTGCTTATTTAAATACAAGAAAGCACAATAGCCGAAGAAAAGTACACAGAAATCAGTTGAGAAATCAACTGAGCCAAGCAATTGGCAGTAAACACTTTCCGCCGCGTTGACCAGCTGCAATGCCAAACGCTCTCTCTGCTCTCCTTAGCACACCGTTAACTGATTTACAAACTGCGCTAAAAAGGAGGGTTTGCGCGCAAACAAATCAGCTATAAAAGGGTGAAGAAGAAGAAAAAAGAAATAGAAAAATAGAAAAGTAGAAATTGGAGCACATTGAAGGAAAGTAAAAGTAACAAAGCACCGTTAAATAGACTGTCATAAACAAATAGTTGCCAGGCTATTGCGCATTGACTTTTTCGCTTTCAACTTTTAATTTCAAGCATTTCTCTTCCCTTTCGTTGCCATTCGCTGTGCAGGCATTAAAATTGTATTAGTTTTGTGCTAAGCCCAGGTTAGGGGGAGGAATATCCTTCTACTTTTATACTTTTTTTACTGCGCTTTGATTCGTTTTTTTTTTTTTTGGTTTAAAGCCTTTTTTCTGTTTCTGCTTTCCCCAGACAAAATTTTAATTAAGTCGCCTTGCGCGTGCTAGTCGCCTTTGTTCTGGGCTTAACATACTTTTTTTTTACTTTAAATTTTTTTTGTCTTCAAACTTTTTTTCTGGTGACTTTTTTGCCTATTAAAACAGTGAAACTCAAAAGTTAATTTGATTAATTGTTTTGTACGAGTTTTTATTTATTTAAATCATTTTATTTTTTTCATATATTTTTGTATCTTTATGCTTAAAAACTGTTCTAAGGCTTATCCTTATTTAAAAGCTTGGCAGATTAAAGCTATGTAGATATATATATATATATATAGCTAAGAGCATCGGGCTTGTTGGTTAGTTGGTTGAAGTGGCTGCCGGCCATCGGCTCACCTCGTGATATTACAGTGGATCCCAAAGACCCTACGCGTTAATCGGATCACCCTCTGCATGCCTGCTGAATAAGATATGTCCTCTGAGAAAGCTTTTAATTGTAGACATATCTTTCCTTTGCAGCTCGTTGCACTCTCCCGTTGCACTCTTGCTCCCCGTGCGGGTGCGGGAAGAGCATTCACCCCCGTCAAGGCTCGCTTGCTGTGAAAGGCGACTAATCTCCTGGCTACCAATCCAGCGCAGTGTGGAAGCCCAATTGGTAGTAACTCCGGTCACAAGATCTGATCGGTGACTTTAAAACTGTTATCAGGAAGAACAAGCGCCCTCGGATGGCTGTGGTTCAACCGGTTGCCGAACCCATTGCACGGCAGAGTACTTAGATGGACCTCGAGCCTAAACCAAATGGTTTGTGTGTTCATATCACACGACCGATTGGTATCATAATCTTATTATTACCCTCTGTAACACACTCACTATGGGGTGTTGAGTTGTCTTTTTGAAAAACGTGAGGTTAGGCCGACAACGGCAGACTTCTCGGACGTTGTTTCACTCTGCCCATAATGCGCTGCTCATATTACATTCATATTACAGATTTCTCCATCTTAAGCTAGAATCATTAATGAGAAACTCTCTTATATTGAGCTAACAAGTGGAGACCGGCGTGCCCAAAGTCTTCCATGATGGCGAAAGTGGAAGGAAAGTGTTCTTCCTTGCAAGCTCTTCCGCCGTCTCTTTAGCCGGTATATCACTGTGACCCAGATTCAGACCCCAGAAACCTCTCCACCAACCCTGTTATCAAGTTTTGAACCATCCATGTAAAAATGAATCGATTCGGCGCCATCTGGATCCGGGATAACTACTTTGAAATCTGTCATGAAGCCAGTGAATTATATGCAGTAATCTGTTATTTCCGGTATACGGAGTCTTCTTAAGATGCTACTATGCTCGTGGTTTATAACTATCCGTTTAGCATTGTGCTGCTCCATTATGTCAAGGGGGAGTAGATCTAAAGGAATATTCATTGCCTCTGTTGGTATTGTACGACGTGCTCTGCTGATGCACAAGCGCACTGCTCTTTTTATTCCATCGAATTTGGATATAGTTGACTTTTTCTCAAGCACTGGCCACCAGTTGACAACCCCTTAGAGAAGTACAGGCCTAACAACACTGATATAAAGCCAATGCACCATTTTAACTGACATTCCTCATTTCCGTTCAAACGCTCCTTTGTAGGTATTGAAGGCAATGGACGCCTTACGCATCCTTCTCTCTAAGTTCTGCGACCAGCATAATTTCCTGTTCGGAATGAGTTTCTAGTTTCAGCAATGCGCAGGAACATTCCAGTGAGGGTTGGTATTGTAAACTTGAAAATTCTATATCACCTGACGGTGGGTTTATGCCCAATCCAGTATCAACGGATTACTTTTCTATCCTCCTCAGTCCGCTTTGCATGATATCGCTCAAAGTTTGTGGGAATTTGCCTTTCACAATAACCGCCAGATCGTCCCACACTGCAGATTTCCACCTCCCTCCTCCTCCATGTAACTCTGTAATTGATTTACTGCCAAAACCCGGAAAAGAGGCGGGAGGGCTCCACCTTGTGGGGTGCCTCTGCTGACATACCTAAGTGCTGTGAACACTGCACAGATAGTACAAACCTGCATCTAAGCGTTCGTCGTCACACAATAACTCTGATTTATGCTCATCAGTTTTAAAAAAATTCTGGAAATATCTTGCCTACCGCCCTTTATTCGATGCGCCCAAAGAGTATGAACCTTTTTGTATGCAGTTTCCATCAACGCTGCTCTACCCACTATACAGGCCCTTTGCAACCATTCCAAAGGTTTTATGCGTCACTTTTTCCCTGGCTTCACCACAGGCAGATCTGTTACCCCATTTAATTATGATAAAAAACACTTTAGTTTTTTCTTACATATATTTCATCAGGATAGCGAAGAAAGTATGGCAATAAATCAAGTGAATGCTGAATATTCTCAAAACAATCTTAGACAATACACAAAATGCAGAAGAAAGAAGATTGAAGAAAGAAATTAGAAATTTGTGTTAGAAAAAATCACTTACCAAAAGTGTTTAGAAAAGCTTTTAATCGAAGCTGCAAACTAACAGTATAATCAGGCGCGAATACGCTCCTTATATAGAAGATTATATGTGTGTAAGTATATACATTAGGTTCGTCAAAAAAAAAGTTTATTTTGTGTTTGAAAAATGGTTGGAAAATCAATTTGAAATTTTTTGGAAAAATTCCAAGATTTCCAAATATTTTTTAAATATAATAAATTGACTTTACTATCAAAATTACTACTCGAAGCTAACTTGAAATTATTTCTGAATATTTATAATTTTTTTTTAAAGATCAAACAAGACAAAGCTTCTCTTTCTGCATGCCGCCATGGAAGTACGAGTATACTGTACAAAGATATGCTCCCGATATTTTTTTCCCTTAACCAGCAACTTCAGAATAAGCTCCGACGACCATACAACCTCCTCCTTCTCCTTTTGTAAATATTTCTATTCAAAGTCTTAGGCACATCTACGACACATACAAGCCATGGTTGCAATTGTTCCACAGCTCCAGAAGATACTCTACACTTGAGCAAGGGATTAGAAGATTCTACTTACTATATGCAAAACGGTCTAAGTACTCAACTTTCAAATCGATTAACCAATCGATTAAAGAACAGTTTTATCAAAATATGACCCCAAAATGATATCTAAAAGACCAACACTAACCGCCTAATACCGTAAAGTCTGTGGCCGAATAATGGCATGCTCAATCTGGGAGTCCCTACTTTTACGCTTACAGTGTTCTTCTACGGCAGTAGTGTCACGAGTCTTGAGTTCTTGCTACGATAAGCTACGCTAAGGTTGTAAATACTACAACGAAGAAGTCACTGACTTCTTGAAGTGTTTTGAGAATTAGTAGAATCGCTGGTATACTCGTATGGTGCAGGTTCCTGAAACTGATGGCTCATCAGAAACCATTGTAGTTGAGCCTTTACTTGTTGATAGGGTTTTTTATTTATATTTTTTTTTTTTTTTTCATACAAGTCTTCTCATGGGAGAACTCTATGGTATCTGTTAGCTTAACACTCATTTCAGACTAAGACTCTTTATTACTTGGGCTGATTCCAACTGGCAGCTCTTACTCTTTGCACGTTATACAACCAGTGGCCCAGCAGTTTTTGCCCGAGCTTCCTTTATTTGACTGTTTTGATGTATTTGACGAGCGACGCTTTGCTGAGCGCAACGTTGAGACTTGCTAAGCCGCTGTCCCTCCAGCAGTCGATTTCCACTTCTGCTTATGGATTTCATATTTAGGCACTGCAGTTTTAGACTTCTGCCGGCTTACAAAGAAAAATGTACCATCATTTTGATAAAAAAAGGTTAACCGCCCTGATAAATATGTGTACATACATATACATATGTAGAAGGACAATAGAAGGGCACCTCAAACCAAGTGGGGGATACAGAAATCTGCAAACAATAAAGCGTCAACTCATTTGTTTTCACGTGTGAACAAGCAAAAAAATGTATAAATAAGACGTTGACTCCACCATTGTGACAACACTTGACTCCACACGACACGCACACGCGACGGCAGCAACACCGTTATCACGTTAAGGTGAAATCAAAGCATTCACTAACGAAAATTTCCTTTCAAGCAGCAGCTGGAGATGAAAGCTTTGTGTGGTACATCTGTACATACATACATACATAAGAACAATATTTTATATTGTATGAGTAGATATG